TCGTCTTTTAACCCTATCCTTTGTTTCTTATGACTTGAGAAAGAAGACGTTGTGGCAGACGAATGTTTTGGTTGAAAGCTACGTTGAAGATGATGTTGAAATAAGAATTCCAAATTTCATGAAAGATATATCTCGTGAAATATAGCTGAAATTCAAAGATTTTAAGGTATTTGACTACGTTCGGAGCCGTGATTTTTCAATAGTGTCACTTAGATTAGAATACACGTATAAAATTGTTGTTCGAATATTATTATAATGAAAAATTATTTAAATGGAATATTTTGGTAGAAAATGAACTGAGAACTATTTATTTTCAAAACATTCTCCTTTTATGGAAAATGCTTCTATAATAATGATATTTTGCCTATATATAGCGCAGACCTCTCTCTCTCTCTCTCTCTCTGTACAGAGCCTGAACTAAGATGTTTGACTTATATAACTTAGAAGTGGATTTATCCACATTTTAATGCATTAATGAAGAGAAAAACAATAATTATTTCAATTGGTACTAACTCCGAAAATAATGTGATTTTTTCTAAAATCCTAGTTCAGGCTCTCTGGAGAAGTCTTAGCTATATATAAGCACACAAACTATTATTCTTATTGAAGCCTTTTTCATAAAAGGAGAATGTTTCTCTCGAAAATAAGAAAATAAATAAGAGTTCTAAGTTCATTTTTTGCCAAAATATTACATTTTAAATGATTTTTTATTGTAATAATATTCTTAAAACAATTTTATACGTGTATTCTAATCTAAGTGACACTAAATATTTAAACAAATATTCGTTTATGCGCTTTTGCAAAATCTCGGTTCCGAACATAGTCGGATACTTAAGGTATCCGACTACATTCGAAACCGTGATTTTAAAAAAGCGCATAAATGGATAATTTTCATGATATTTAATGCCACTTTGATTAGAATACATGTATAAAATTGTTTTAAGGACATTTTGACAAAAAACATTATTTAAATACAATATTTTGGCAAAAACTTTATCAAAATGTTCTCCTTTCGTGAAAGATGCTTCTATTCTAATAATATTTTACCTGTATATAGCTCAGACCTCTGTACAGAGGCTCAACTATAATTCTTTGAAAACTCCACATTATTTTCAGAGTTACAACCCATTCAAATAATTATCGGCTTTTTTTTTTCTTAAAATTTCTCCCCTCTGTTGTCGTAAAACATGGATAAACCCACTTCAAGTTATATATTTCAAAAATTTTAGTTGAGCCTCTGTACAGAGGTCTGAGCTATATGTAGGCGAAATATTATTACAATAGAAAAATTTTTCACAAAAGGAGAATATTTTGAAAATTGGTCGTTCTGTGTTCATTTTTTGTCAAAATATTGTACTTAAATAATTTTTTATTACAATAATATTCTTAAAACAATTTTATATACATTTTCTAATCTAAGTGACACTAAATATCATAAATATTATCCATTTATACGCTTTTGAAAAATCACGGTTCCGAACGTAGTCGGATACCTTAAGGCACCTCCCCATTCCTACCAAGAAGATGGATAAAACAAATCTGAGATCATTGAAGAAAAGTTGAACCACACTTTTTCGACACATCAACCTGACCTTTAAGGTAAAGGTCAGGATTTAACATCACAGGAGTTAAGGTCTTCAAAAAGTCCTTAATAGCTGAATTATCATTTTAATTATAATCAAGTAACAGAAAATATTATGTGCGTACAGAATATGTGATTTCTGGCGTGGCTAAATCTGTTCCGTGCAGTTATTTCAACGTGAAAGAGGAATATCTTGTGTAACGTCTCTACATTTCAATAATGTGGAAATCTGTAATACAGGTCCTTTGAGAATTTTCATTGCAGCACATGTGCTGTAAGATTAAGATGAAGATCTGACATAACACAGATTTTGGAACTCTAGAGATCTCACAAACATCCGCGCCAAATCGTTTACCCCTGCAGGTATTACTTTAGACGTAATCAGAGTACAAAAATTTGTGTGTGTGTGTGTTCTAATTTGTTGTAATTCAATTCTATTTTTAACACAGTCTTCCAACCTAAATCAGAATGTTTCTAAGAAATTTTAAGTGAGTATACAAAAACAATGCACGCGTGTTGTGTGTGCTTGATATTTATGATATATATAAAATTCCTTCTTCATATTTAAGAATTATGTGTATAGATATGCAAGTTCTTTTCGTTAACAAATGCACCAAATAGTTTTAATAGAACTCCATTGAAATTTTGAATTTGATAAAGAAACTACTATTTTTCGAGAGAACGTTTTAACTGTAAAGTATAAAATCACAACTCAAATCATAATGTTAAAATTTTCGAAGATGTTTATAACCTGTAGAGATCTTGTTTCGTATCATTTTTTCTGCTCAAAACAAAAATTTTAAGCATTTAGCAAAATTGTATTTTTAAATTTAGTAAATATCAAACATTTTTCACTTAAAAATAAGAATTTTAGTTTTTCATTTCAAAGGGGATTTACATAAATTTTATGAATCCAACTTTTTTATTAAAAAGCATTTATAATTGCCCTGCTCCTTGTCGTATCATTTGAAAATATAAACAAGGATTTTTCAAATTTTGAATACATTTTAATAAAAGTATAAAATTAAAATTTTACTTATTTTATTTAAAACAGGTTAAAGTGCAAATATTCGAAATAATATATAAAACATCAATATTTCCATTGAGAAAGTTTCTTAATATATGTATATTTAAATGCAAAAAAAAATAATTTCATTGCCTGCATAACTTTAGAAGGTTGCAGTTTTCACACATTTTTTTAGATCTTCATACACACTGCATTTAATATTCAGTTATAAATACAATAAAAAAATTTTTAAAAAATTTCAGTTAGGTTATTTTTGTTCTGGAAATGTTTTAAATTCTTAATTATATATTTTTTCATCCCTTGAAGCTTTCTCCGGAAATATTCTTTAGAAATCTCGTTCCCTCCTTGGTAAAATAATTGCTTAGAAAGAGCAGACGAATTTTTAGATATTATAAAATTCTAAAACTAAATAAAATATAATTTATCTAACCAAAAAATTTCATTTAACTGGAATTAATATTTTATTTCGATTACAAAGTATAAAATTTAACATTGAAATTTTAATCCTTTTTGAATATAAATGTATTTATTGCATTTAAATTACAATTCCTCAATACTGATAATATAAATAAATATCTAAAAAAAAGAGATATATTATTACGATTCTACCTAAACTATTGAGAATTACTTTCGTTTTAGTCTGGAATTGTAATTTAATCGAATTTAATACGAAACATTCACTGAATTTCATTAATACGAAAAACAGTGAAATTTTTTAATAGCTTTATAGTTATCGAAAAATTTTCTCTCGAAAATTATTAAAGAACAAAAATTTTAGAATTTTTTTTTGTGTGTAACTATATTTTTAAAATAAATATTTTTAAACGGTGTTTTTTAATGAAATCTTTCTCCAAATATTGCTTGAATCATAGAAAATTTCTGAAAAATATAATACTTAAAAACATCTCGTAAATAATGTTGGAGTACATTTGATGCATAGTTTCTCAAAAACTAAACGAAATTGCATGATTTTAGGCAAAGCGAAAATTTTTTTAAATATTTGAATGTATTAAAATAAAATAATAAAAAATCTGCAAAATAATTTTTAATTAATATTTAGTCAATTAACAGTTGAAACCATGTAATTAATTTCTAGTTTAATATTCTGAAATAACTTACTGAAAAATCACTTTTTATAATTTTACCAAAAAACAAGTTATTTATTAATGCCTAATTTTCCGAAACTTTTGTAAAGAAAAATTATCAAGCATTAATTTGTGTAGAAATAAGTTAACTTAATTTTTTTAATCTATGATTTCAATTCCATGTTTTATAATTTTGAAATTGCAATGTATAATGATAAAATAAGTACCTTTGTTTTATTTATCATTTTTATTTAAATATCGTTATTTTTATTTTATAAGTATTAAAAACATTTTATCAGCTTCGATATAAATAATACGTGTAATAAGCTTTAATTTATATTTTTAAAAAAATTCTACTTTATCAGCAATAAAACTGTTATTTAAATAAGGCTTAAATTAAATTTAAACACATTGCAATATATACTCACCTCACCAACAGAAACAAACGCATTACTACAGAACATGACTCAACGGCAAAAGGCAAGGATTGAAAGTAAAGGGATTTTCTATCTACCTGACCCAGAATCCCTTGCGGTTCTTCGACTTTTTGATGACTTTCGAATTTTTTTCCGGGCTTTTCGCCTTTTTCTTCAGGGCGCTCTTTTCATATGAGTTCCGAATTCTGAAACTTTTTACCCCCACGCAGCACGACATAGAAAGAAACTAGATTTTGCGAGGAAAGAAAAGTTTTTATCTTTTTGTGACTTGATGAAAAATGTCTACGACAAGAAAAATGTCGCCAAATCGGATTAGTTTCTATCGAATAATATGTTATCACGTTACTTTGGGTTCGAGGGTTACTGAACTACAAAAAAAAAAAAAAA